GAGAGTGTGACACAAATGAAAGTTTGTATGGGTATCGAGCCTTTAGAAAAAAGACGTAAGAAAAATAGACTTAAACTTATTTACGCTATCATCAATGATTTAACTGGAATAGACAAGTCTAATTATCTAGAAATGCCCCACTATATATCGAGTAGGAGGGACCACGTAAAAAAAATACGCGAAATAAAATGTCGAACTAACTATATGATGTTCTCTTTTTTTCCGAGAACTATATCGGAATGGAATGAACGTCCATCTGATATTGTATCAGCTAACAGTGACTATTTTATTAGCCTTATTAATGCAATGTAAGTTTCTGTGTTAAGTACATCATTGGTTTTTTCGTAATATTGCTATTGTGTGCTGGTGTGAATCATGTTTATTGATGTTGTTGGAAATTGCTGATGTGTGCTGTTATGTGACTTTCCAATTTATAATGATATATGTGAATCATGTAACCCACTCCTCTGCTGTAATGCTCCGGCGCTGCAGAGAATAAATAAATAACAATAATAATAATTTCGTAGACCATGATGCCTGAAGCCTGAAGTCCAAATACAAATATCATCCGCGTAAATTGACATACTAGTAGGAAGAGTGTACTTGGGGAGTGCTTCTGGTAACTTTGACACAAGGATATTAAAAAGTATCGGCGATAGTACACTTCCTTGGGGCAGGCCACAAAGGGATTTACGCTGCGAGCTCACTGCTCGTCCCAGCCGAACTTGGAGCGTTCGTCCAGCGAAAAAATTCTTTAGGAAGACCTGTAAATGACCCGTCATTCCAAGTTGTGTTAGCTTTCTCAGAACTGCGGAATGCTGTACATTGTCATAAGCCTGACTGATATCAAAGAATATTGCCAGAGTTGAGTTCTTGTTGTAGTGATTATGCTCAACAGCACTCAATAGGTCAATCACACTATCCGCTGTCGAGAGGCCTTTTCTGAATCCGGTCATTTCTTTGGGTAATAGTTGATATTTCTCAAGCCACCACGAGACACGGGAATGGATCATTCGCTCCATAAGTTTCGCTACGCATGACGTTAGCGATGTAGGTCGATATGAAGATGATGATGTTATCCGTTTTCCTGGCTTGTGTATAGGAACAACCCATGCTGTTCGCCAAATTTGTGGTATGTTTCCCGTTGTCCATATGATATTGAAGGAATTCAGAAGTTCCTCTAGTCGTCCGTCAGGTAGGTTTTGGAGCATCTGATTTGTGATCCCGTCAGGACCTGGTGCACTTTTTCTGCGACACATTTTTAGTGCAGCGGCTAGTTCGCCTGCGGTGAAGAGAGCGTCAAGAGGTGATTTCTTTTTTACCGCGTAGCTTTTCGCTCCAACCTCACTTTGAGGCGTCGAAAAATAATCCGCAAAGCTTTCTAGTGTGTCTTTTAGATTTTCGCCCAGACGAAGTGCCATTGAAGCATAAGATGTATGCGTCTCGTTTTTCCCTGTAAAGCAGTTCAAACTTCGCCAAATGTGGGTTCCAGGCCTGTTAGCATCGGCCGACGCTGTGCTGTCATCCCACTGCTTGCGCTTGGTCTTTTTTGCATATCGACGAATGATAGCATTTATTCTATTTAGCAGGGTTTGTACTTCACGTGTATAGAATCGCTAAAGTTTTCTTTCTACTTGTCTACGTTGCGCAAAGAGCTTAAATAGTGTAAAGTCGGGCTCGGGATAATGGCTTCGAAGGCGCATTGTGATTGTGGCTCTTTCAGCACTAATCACAATCGCCTGGTCTAGGGGTTCCGGTGATGCTGTGAGATCTTTTCTGTAATTGTCCCAGTGAATGAAGTGTCCAATGCGTTGCTGTGTTGAGCAAACGCCTGCTAACTCTATAAATATGGGATAGTGATCACTGCCCATTGTATCTGGATAGGTTCTCCATTGTATGCTGATGTTTGATGAGTATGCCGTGATGTCTATTGCACTGTATGTGTTAGGTGATCTAAAAAATGTCGGACTTCCGTCATTTGCTATAGCCAAATCACAATCATCAAAAGCCTGAGCCAGTGCTTTCCCTCTAGCATCATCTTTTGCACTCCCCCAGAGTCTGTGATGCGCGTTCCAGTCACCGCATAGCACAATAGGGTCTGAGCAGCGTTTGCACAGTTCGGCAACCGCACTCGCAACAGTAGCTTTGCCCTTCCCCGGACGCACATAGGCTGAGCCGATGCATAGTGGATGTCCACCTACGACTACATGCGCTGCTATCAGTTCGAGATGTTCTGTGCACAGGTCACTTGTGTCAATCCTATGTTGGGGAAGCTTTTTTTGTATAAATAACGCCGCAGATCCGTGGGGAAATCCTTTCATTGTGGGATTTTTGTAGCGTGTGAATCCGGAAATACTACCATTATTTGGTAGTCCTGCTTCACTAAATGCTAAGATTGGTATTTGGTAAGTTTGTAAATATAAGGACAGTGCCGCCAATCTTGCTGGGAGGCTCGCACAGTTCCATTGCATTATTAAAGGCACATTTCTTTGTTTAGGGGGCACTGTTGATTGATGTTTTGGATCCTGGGCCATAACTACATCCATTTTCGGATCATATCAGTAATTGTCACTTCGAAAACCATAATTCCTTGTAGTACCATTTTTAGATGGCCTGGAGGTAGTTGGGCAATGAAGCCTCGTACGGCAGAGAAAAGCAAACTTACTATGTCGTTGACATTTGATGTCCCAGGCAGATGAGTTTCTCTCTTTGGGAGTGGTGGGACATTTTCTGTCGCTCTACTGTAGAGGCGTCTACCCGTCGACGAAGCCCGGTGAGCTTGGGACACGTTGGGGTCTTGCGATTCTCTGGATGGTAAGGGAGGAAACTAGTCCTCGAGTAGCGTCTGTTTCTCTGTTAGATTCTTACTGGCGCTGTTCGTTTTCCCATATTTTCGTCGCTCCTCCTGTGGTTTCATGCCAGATGTTGTTTGGCTGTCTGTAGGTTTTGTCATCGCAACTGGTGCAACAGGTGATTTCTGCGATGCGGCCGTATCGTTGACCTCCACGGTCTCCACTCGCTTCAAAGCCTGTCGTGGTCCATTGACAAAAGCCTTCCTTCTTGCGAGTGCTCCGAGGCGCACTTTGCAGTTGACGTAGCTTGCGGGATGGTCCCCACCGCAGTTTGCACACTTTACGGGGTCTTCTCCCTTGCAGTCTTTGGTTGTGTGTGGCTCTGCGCACGTTTTGCACTTGACAGCGTTCTTGCAGTATTTGGCTATGTGTCCGAGTGCCTGGCAGTTGAAACATCGGGAGGGGGCTTCAACATAATCGCAGTCCTCATGTATGGTGGACCCAAGGCTCACTCTTACTGGGCGCTCTGTGTTTGGCCGGAAAGTTAGAACAACTCGGTCAGTCGGTTTAGCCACTTCGCCAACCTTTGCGCGACGTTGGTAGAGTCGGCGGCTGCGATCACACCAGCCGGTTCCAGGAATTCCGTTAGCTCGCTGTCCGAGTACCAATCAGGTACCCCTGTCACGAGGCCGTTGTTCCGCATGTCTTCGGTATGGTTGCTTGGACCGGAACTCCACAGAGAGAACGAACCTTCAGCAGCTTGTTCACGGTAGCAGCGTCTGCAACATCTACAAGGAGACCTCCCCGAGCAGTGAAATGGTCTCTCACAAGAGGGGCGTCTGCCGTTGCCGCTATTTCTTCGCTTAGTTTGAGCGGATTCTGTTTTTGGAGTCGTTGGTCATCTTTGACTGGGGTCAGTAAAACTGGCACACCAGTTGTTCGCTGACGTCAGTGTGTAACGAGTATGAATCCCTCCAGGTCACTTTTCTCCTCGTCGACGTGCATGGTAGAATCTGATGTTACTTCAGACGCTCCTATATCCTCATTTTGGTCGTCATCGTCAGGTTCGTTGTTATTTTCTCCTTTGCGTCGCTTGACACCCTTGAGCGCTTGACCTGATGTTCTCTCTTGGCCTGGCTGGACGGCTTGATCTTTCGCTAATGCCGTCACCGAAGGGCCTGATTTTGGTCTTCCATCTGATGAAGGCTCTCCATCGGAGTTTTCCATGATGGAAAGTCCGGGAGCACCTTGGTAGGACCCAGATTTAAAGGGTCCACGTAGCTGGCGGCCTTCAAGAGTATGATTTGTAGGTCCGGGTATAAAAGAGGCTTACTTCTTTCGTAGCGAAGGAACAGATCAGGCTCTAATCCAGAGGCGTCGGCAATCTTTCAAAAATAACGTGGAACGCAGAAAAAGGATCGACCATCTACAAGGTGCTTCTTCTTCTTTTTTCGACAAAAACGACTCGCGTGAAAACTAAACTGAGGGTTGGACTGAGCAAGGGCGAGGAAGAAGGCGAAGTGAACGTGGTGAAGATGGGAATAACTAGAAGACGAAGAAGTTCAAGGCAAGAGATGAATATGCCAAGAAAACGAAGATGACGACGGGAAGGGAAGATCCAGTGGGAAGATCACACACACGCTCGTGACACGTGAGAGAAGGGCGGGCACGACACAAAACCCGGCTCGACAGCGGTAATCCCGGCAGCCAAGGAAGAGCCCGGACGGACGAGTCCAGGACCGTGGGGCTTTCACCCAAGCTTGCTGAGAAACCTCCGCCGTGCCTAGTGAGCCTGGCGAGCATTTCCAGGGCAAGACGAGCGCCATGCCAACGCCGACGTGCAACGCAGTGCCGTAAGCGGATTCGTCGAACTGGATTTGTCTATAAATCCACACCGTTTTTGTTTTTTTCTAACTTCTTGTTCATACGACTGTAAATAATATCTACCTTCTTATATTCACCGCCCTGGAATTCCTAGTCTATTTAATTATTTTTTTTCCATCACAACGACGCTGCTGCTCAGCTTCGACTGCGTTATCCAACTCGCTGCTGTCACAAGAGCCGAGCAAGTTGCCGCCTGGCCCAGTCCGTCGGGCCACTCTGCAGGGGAAGCACCACGCCGGCCGTAGGAGAAGGAACCCAACGTTTTGTATCTTGTTAGGCTTTAATAAAGTTTATTATCTTTCTTAAACTGTTACTCGCAACGTTTTAGAACAGACATTTTTCAATTTTATTACTTGGATTTTTTATGGTGTTTCTTGGTGTGGTTCCGACCATTTCTGGGTTTTCTTTAACCAACGTAAGATTCGTTGCTATCCACTGCATCTCCTGCAAGAATAGTTGTAACACTCATGAAATATATATTTTTAAGTATTTTAAAACGCTCCGGTGATATGGGTTCTACTATAATCACTCAAAAAGCCAAACAGCCCTACAGATCACGTGCTGCATCGACAGCATCTATTCTTTGATATCTGTATATTAGCGTTTTGAATGTTGGTTTCAGTAACTGACTCAAAATTACCTGTTGGGCTAGTTGGCTATACATTCTTAAAAATCAAAAGCCTAGGTGTTTGCGCTTTTAATTTTTATCCGTAACTGACATGTGTCACAAATACCAATATTTCCAAACCAGATCAGGACCCTAAAATTGTAGCATGTAAATTTGTTTTCTGTGTGTCATTGGTCTCATTTGAACCGTATAAATCTGGGTAGTTTCACATGATTAAAGGGCGTGACAAAATCTAGGCTTTCCCTGTTAACAGACACGTGTGCTGCATTAAGTATAGAATGTTGGTATGCCATTTACAGATCAAGGCATGACTTACTGTTGTTTCGATGTATATCATTAATGATCTAGAGTAAAAAAGATTCGCCAAAAGCAGAAATGAATATTGTTTTTCAGGCAGTACTTGAAACCAGGGTGTCGAACCGGAACCGAACCGAACCGAAAACCGGAATCGAACCGTTATTTTTAGCCGAACCGGAACTGAACCGAACCGAAATCTTCACCGCCATCTTGGAACTGAACCGGAACCGAACCGAAAAAAATATAACGGTAACCGGTTCAAAACGGTTCAAGGTATTCTTTTTTCGTTTTTGTTAGTATCACAAAACGAACATATGGGAATATGAAATTGGCGGCTGTATTTCTATCTATTGTTCGAATCGTCACATACAGAATTGCAATGTATGGTAGACTGTGGGTTTTCGTGGCGCTTTTGTACTGGCACTATGATTAACCATGTGTCACGTTGTCACGTGACGTCATGGTGTCAATACATGCTGTCAAGTAATGTCACGTGACCCTGTGACGTCACGTGACTCACTGCGTCAAGTCGATTTAATTTAAAAAGTCACTAGATGTATTAACCTTGTTGACAGCGTGACGTAACATGACATCACGATTTTGCACCGAGTCACGTGACACCGTCACGTAAACAATTTTCATAGCCCCGAATCGAGTGCTCAAGTTCATGCCAATCAGCATCGCCGAACATTCAGGCAACGGCTTGTGTTCAATTAAAGATGATAATAGCCCAACTCTAACAATATCTGAAGCTCCAGCCCAAGCTTTTGCTTTCTAAACCCTAGCGCATGACTATGATGAACACTGACGGTATAGAATTAGCGTCAGATCACGTGGCTGCTTGTTCAAATTGCGAGTTGAGGAGGGGATCGACAGCTATTTGTTTCTTTATTTTCTTTTGCATCTGCTATTTTTTTTTCTTTTCGCAAGCTATCAACGTCAGGGGTTACTTCTTAACAGTATTTATTGAAAGTACAAAAACAAATGTTGCACGACCAATTTTACATTATTGAAGCACCCAAAAATGTTTTCGTCATTGGGGAGGAGGAGCGACCATGACGCCCCATGCGGTTAACTTTAGAACTACACGGATGGGGACAATAAATACAATGACTCAGCGCTCGGCCGACAAAACCGAACGCGGCGTCAGCGTTCGGCTGGAGTTCGTGCTCTCCGGTGCTGACTGACATGATGGGAAACTGACCCTTAATAGCTCCGCTGTGTGCGTGAGTGTGTGTGTGTGGGGGGGGGGTAGTTTTAATAACATACTCTGTTGTATAGAGGTTCCTCTTTCCCTCATCTTTGGCGGAGACCAAAAAGCGTGGGCCCGGAAACTACTTTGTCTGCAAAAACACTCTTGCCAAAAAGCACGTTTTTGTCGTGCCAGACGGTCGCGCAGTTCCTCGCGAAGATGCAGTACGAATAATAATACGTGCCTTTCAAATACTTGGCTTTAACTGAGCTTGAACCTCCTGCAGCGTGCATTTTGCACCATCGAATTTGATTTTCACAATGACTACTAGCATATAGTATGACGACGTCACGTGCATGCCATGCTAAACAGTTCAGCTTTCTGGTGAAATGTGATGTTCGCAACACTAGCAATAGATGTCCTACTTGTAAAGTTTTCCAGTATTTATTGCAGTCTCGCGATGATAGATGGCAGCCCAGAAAAATGTTAGAGCGCATGATTATTGAAGCACAGTGTTGTAAAGCGAGGGCCCAAAACAAGTGCAGGTAAAACCGAATGTAACATTAGCCTCGCGAGGTAGTATTTTGCGAAGTTTCGAGCTCATGCAAGCTGATGAAATGAGATTTATATTAAGATTTTAAGAATTCCATCGGTCCTTCGCGCTATTCGTGTAAAATTATTAATTTCATTGCGTGCACCTTTACGCATCTGTTTTTGCAGTAAGGCGTTCTGTAAGAGATTATTTAGGAAAATACCATTATTTTCTCTTTTTTTAACATTTCGAGTATTTGCTTTCAGATCTGTCATGTGAACACAGAGTCATTTTTGGCGTACCCTGCAACCCGATGTTTCACACTGCCAATCAGCAAACAGAAAAACACTTTTACGCAGACTCAACAGCTCGCGTAGTTTCGAGTATCTTCCTTCCGTATCGGTCTCAAGCGGTTATGTGAACTTTTAAGGTAATATTTATTGATCATTACCAAAATATATTACATTGCTAACTGAATATTTGACAACATAAATAAATGGCCGACCACCCAAAAGCTATGCCCCCCAAAATTATTTGAACTGTGTTCTGCCAATCTTTTCCGGCGTTTGTATCCTCGACAGGCACCTTGAAGGTTATTTGGGACAGCTTTACATTCATTTCTGATTTTGAAGTTAATTTAAACAACAATTTGTTCCTCACATATATAACTTCTTAAACATATAGAAGCCTGTTATTGCCTCTTCTATGTGGTAAACATTGCTTTAATGTGTCTCTGGGCTGGAAAAAAACAAAGTAAACAGGGGCGCGCGGCTGAACCATGACGATTACGCACGCAAACTGTCAGAAAATATCCAATTAAGTAGCTGCCATGCCGAGAAAATCTTTAAATACTACTTCGTTGTACTTAATAAAGAAGGTACTTTGGGGGACGCTTAAGCTTCGGCTTTAAAATCGCCTCCTTACTTGCCGCGCAAGCGTGCCTCGGTTGCCTAGTCAGGAGCGTCTGACTCGCAACCGAAGGGTCGTGGGATCGAATCCCTCCTAAAATTCTTTTTTTTTTTCTTTAAGGCAAAGAGAAATTATTAGAGACATACGGCGAAATGCAATTCACGTTACATGTCATGTTTTAATCACTTTCATTCCATGCGTGATGTCACGTTTCACGTGAGCATTGTGAGTTGTTTGAAATTCTTGAGCGAGGGCATGTAGCTCTGACGTCATGACCTTATCGACCATTCAGGATTTTCCAGTCACGCCACCGAAATCGGCTTTTCTGCGACATGAGCTTCTCAGTGCTATTGCGTTAAAATAATCAATTAGCAAGGGTGATGCTCATTTGCAAATTAAATTGACCGGCCTCTTGTCAAGAGCAAACCTCAATAGCCAGGCTATGCCAGCTTATCCTGTATAAGAAAATGTTAACTAACGTGGGCAAGCGCTATTTTGGGCCAGATTCGATCTGAGTGCGAATGTGCATATAGATTAGACTGAACAATTTTGATTGCTCCTTGCTGCATGATTAGTCGCATGCATCGCGGTGCTGAGTGTAAGCAATGTTTGGTTAAAACAACAAGCATTTTGATTGACGCTCGGCATTTCTTTAAAAAATAGACTGAAAGGGATTATCCTAGAACTTTCGTGACATTTTGAAAATTTCATTGCTTTTTGCTTAGTTGTGTCGTCATCATATACATATATATATTGTGAAACATATTTAGTAAACAATATTTCACGATATATATGGCCACGAGGCGCCCATTTCATAATTTTATGCAGTAATTAATTCCTTAGTTGGAGGACACAATCACGATTTAACTTTTAATACTGCGGCACAAAGTTGTACGAATCAAGGGTATTTTTGGTGACCATGCCACACTTGGCGTCAACATTTTATACTGTGTGAATAAATCAGCTTGAATTTTAGAATTTTACTTAAACACAAAGAAAGGACAGGAAAAGACAGTATAGTTCTAAATTCCAAGCTGATCAATTTACAGGTATGTACCAACAAGCTCAGCTCCTTACTGTTATACTGAAACATTTGGATTCAGGTAAATATATGTTACTGGTAATGTGTATGTTATGTCGTATGAACACGCCGTTATGTATGTTAAGAAATTAAAAAAAAAAATGAATTTCATACTTTTGGTATTTGAAAAAAAAGTTAATTGCACAGATGAGAGGAGAAACTATATAGTTGATTGTTTCACGGCGTAAATAGTGTATAGTGTCAGAACAACGCGGAAAATATATTATCAATTTAGCGGTTCAAACGGGTTCGAACCGGTTCGAACCGGTTTGAATTGTTATTTTTTGCTCCCCGGAACTGAACCGGAACCGAACCGAAAGCCGTGAACCCGAACCGGAACCGAACCGATAAAAATTTCGGTTCGACACCCTGCTTGAAACCCAAATCTTTGAATAGACTTAAGTCAGCTGGAAACTGGTTCTTGTCGATTCGGTAAATTGGGAGAGGGGCAATCAGACATTTCTTAAATATATGTAGAACACAGTCACAAAAGTTACAAGAAGAGAAAAATCTGAAAACTAAAAATTCAGGAAGTCGATCTACGAAAGAAATTATCTTGGCGTATTGGTGTCAGGTGACGTCACTCTGCGAAATGACGTCATAGTGTGACATGACATCACTCTCCTGCGACTTCGTGGTGTCATATAACGTCAAGATGCGACGTGTCATCATGGCGTTATAGGGTAACGTGTCTTCACATTAAAACGTTAACGTGGCATGATGGACGTCATTGTTTTATTTGACCACACAGTATCAGGTAAGCTGATGGCACAATTTTCCTGGCTACTTTATAGGTAGACGAAAA